TCGAACAATCAATTGAGTGGAAATCGTCACTCTATATCAACTTCATTGATTATGAGAAGGCATTTGACAGTGTAGATAGGAGGACGTTATGGAAACTTCTTCGACACTACGGAGTTCCTGAGAAGATTGTCAACATTATCCGGAACTCATACGACAGACTACAGTCCAAAGTAGTTCATGGAGGACAGCTGACAGATGCATTCCAGGTAAGAACCTGAGTAAGACAAGGCCGTCTACTCTCTCCCTTCCTCTTTCTTCTGGTGGTCGACTGGATTATGAAGACCTCGACATCTGAGGAAAAAGACGGCATACAATGGACAGCTTAGAACCAATTAGACGATTTGGACATCGCAGATGACCTAACCCTTCTATCGCATACATACGAACAAATGCAAATAAAGACAGCGATCGTAGCAGCAGTCTCTGCATCAATAGGCCTCAACATACACAAACGGAAAGCCAAGGTCCTCAAATACAACACACAGAACAGCAATCCAATCACTCTTGATGGAGAAATTTGCATCATGTACAATCCTTCACATACCTGGGAAGCATCATCGATGAACAAGTAGGTTCAGATGCAGACGTAAAGGCGAGGATTGGCAGTGTAAGTATAGCATTCCTTCAATTGACGAACACATAGAACTAAAAACAACTTTCAACCAATATCAAAGTCAGAATCGTCAATACCAACGTCAAGGCAGTTCTACTGTACAAAGCTGAAACTTGGAGAACTACAACAACCATCATCAAGAAGGTACAAATATTTATCAAAAACTATCTACGAAAGATACTCAACATCCATTGGAAACCAGTTAATTTACATTGAAATTCCACAGTCACCAGTTATTACATAATCATATGTTTAAGCGCTTACCTAAAGTGATTATTCGTTCAAAATTGTTATAAATTGTGGTTAAGTGCCCTTAGTTTTTTGTTTTTCACCCTTCGCACCAATTGCTGTAACTCGTATTTCGAGTCATATCAATATATAACGTATTGATACCGTCAATTAGAGAACAGTGAATGATCGATCGAACCACTGACTCATGAAATCCATACGAGTGGTCTTCACCGATCCTGTATTTTGCCTCGCTTTGCCTGTTGAAATTCAGAACACCAATCTCAGTTTCTGCAATATGAATTATTTATTACAAACATACGGGGTTTATATACCAGCCCAACAAACCACACCGTATCATAAAGTAGGAAACAATATTCGTACAAGATCTGACCAGAAGTGGCTGTGAATGTGAGAGATAGTAACTAATAGACTGGGTACAACTCATGAAGTGTAAATCATTGGTTAAAATAACGCTCATAATAAGAGGTATACGAATATGAATAGTTTAGTTATATAACAATTACTCAATAAGAAATATATGTATAGTATTGATCCGTCCGTTAAGGCTAGGATTGCCAAACCGAGGACAGCATTCCTTCAATTAAAGAACATATGGAAGTCCAAGCAACTTTCAACCAATATCAAAGTCAGAATCTTCACTACGAACAGTTCTACTGTACGGAGCTGAAAATTGAAGAACTACAACAACCACCATCAAGAAGGTACAAGTTTTTATCAATAGCTGTCTACGCAAGATACTCAACATCCATTGGCCGGATACTATCAGCAACAGCCTACTGTAGAATAAAACAAACCAACTTCCAACTGAAGAGGAAATTAGGAAAAGACTATGGGAATGAATAGCACATATATTGAGAAAATCATCAAACTGGATTACGAGGCAAGCTCTAAGTTGGAACCCTGAAGGGAAATGGAAAAGGCGAAGGATAAACAACACATTATGTCGGGAAATAGAAGCGGATATGAAAGGGATAAATAACAAGTGGAAAGAGCTGGAAAGGATTGCCCAGGACAGGATTGGATGGAGAATGCTGGTGAGCGGTCTATGCTCCTTCATGAGCAGTAACAGGCATAAGTAGGTAAGCAAGTAAGTAAGAGTATGAACACGAAGTAATTACGCTTCAGTGAGTTACAGAAATAACTAGTACTTTGAGTATTTATCACTAACAGTTATGTCCGTATTCACTGCCTCAGAATGAGTTGTCATAGAATAACGGTAGAAATAGAAAATTATCCAGCAGAACTATTTATTTGACATCACGAATCGATATAAATCAAACAACCATTGAAATCTTTAAACCAGTGTACAATTGTAAGTCCTCCATTAACAGTCATTGATTACTCTCTTCAAATCTCTTATCAATCAGGTGATTGTCTAATGTGAACACTTGATTGTGTATGACAGACGATGTGAAATACGTTCACAGCATTCGTCAAGTCACATCATTTATTACTCATCAATTTTGTGCTTATTACATAAATGATTTTCAATTTTAGATTTATACTACTGTATAAAGTATTAAGTAGTAATGTGAAGAAATTGCAACAAACCACATAAGATCACTTCATACATTTGATTTTTGTTTGTTTCTTGTATCACTGTAATTATATATCCATTCATAAAAATTCATTTTGTTTGTCTTCATTAAAGCTTTATGTTTTACTATTTAAGAAACCTCATACTAACACTTCTTATATGTTTAGAGCACTTGTTACATTATAATAAATTATCTCAGAATTATTTAACAGACATTGAATGGGTGGTTGCACAATCATTTATGGATCGATGTAAGTTAGACAATAACACCATCGGATACCAGCACAGTGGTCTACAAGTTAAATGTTCGCATGTGAAACCAAAAGTTTACGGTTCTCATCCCCTGTGCGAGATCGTAGACTCGTACTGCTGAGCAGTCTCACAATAAGACGAAACCGCTTTCATGTTTACAATGATGACCTAACTTAGATTTACTCAAACAGTATTTGAAAAGAGTTTCATCCTAATGTTATTCTTTTAGTAAATTCTCATCTTTTATTACTTACTTATTTGCGTCTGTTACTCCTCGTGAAGGAGTATAGGCCGCTCACTAGCACTCTCCATCTAACATCGTCCTGAGCAATCCTTTTCAGCTCTTTCCAGTTCTTATTCATCCTTTTCATATCCGATTCTATTTCCCGATGAAATGTGTGCTTTGTCTTTCCTCTTTTCCACTTTCCTTCAGGATTCCAAGTTAGGGCTTTCCTCGTGATGAAGGTTGATGATTTCCTCAAGGTATGTTCTATTCATCTTCATTGTCTTTTCCTAAGTTCCTCTTCAGTTGGAAGTTGGTTTGTTCTTTACCACAAAAGGCTGTTGCTGATAGTATCCGGCCAATGGATGTTGAGTATCTTGCGTAGACAGCTATTGATAAATATTTTCACCGTCTTCATAATGATTGAAGTAGTTCTCCAATTTTCAGCTCCGTACAGTAGAACTGCCTTGACGTACGTATTGTGAATTTTGAATCTTATTGAACGGCATTCTTTTCGAATGAACGCTATCCTTGCTCTGCTAACCCTCGCCTTTACATAAGCATCAGATCTTTTTTGTTCAATTCAAATCATCTAGCTACATCCAAGATATCCATTACATTCTGTGCTTCCCCTAAGATGTGGTGGTCATCGTAATCTAGTCGATTACTAAAAAGAGCGAGAGTAAGCAGTACTGTCTGAAGACGTTATTCACTTGGAATGCATCTGTCAGTTGTCCTTCATGCCTAAGTTTATAGTATATTCCGTCGCATGAATTCCATAAGATTTTGACGATTTTCTCAAGTACACCATAATTTCGAAGAACACTCTATAGGTTTCTTCTATTCACGCTATTAAACGCTTTCTCATGGTCAAAGAAAGTGATTTATAGTGACAAATCATATTCACTTGATTGTTCAGCAATGATTTGAAGTGTCGCAATTCGGTCTACGAACGAGCGATCCTTCAGCGATATGGCCTACTGACCTTGAAGTTGGGCGTCTACGTAATCTTTCATCCGATTGAATAACACTCTGTTGAAAAATTTTCCTGGTACTGATAGTACTGTGATGCCTCTGCAGTTCTCACACTTTTTCAAAACTCCTTTATTTAGATCCAAGCTGGAAAGAAAAGATTCGATTCAGGAGAGATGTCGTTGTACTCTGGTTATGAAGCAAAAAATGATCCGCCCACGCAGAGAGTTGCTCTAATGTTCTATAAAGCAGCATGAAAGGCACTTATAGGATGGGAGTCTGATCGATGCAGAATCCTCAAACCATCCTTCGAAACAAAGAAAAAAGGGATCACAATGATTGTTTACAGTGTTATGCATCCAACAACGATAGCAATGAAGACGATAAAGTTCAGTTTCATCAAATGCTTCAGGAAAAGAATCAAACTGTCTTGATAGAAGACCTAAATCCCAAGGTCGGAATGGACAACACCTAGTATGAATATATCATGCGACTATATGGATTGGAAGAATGGAATGTGAATAGCAAATTATTTACAAATTAATACAACTTCAACAAAATGATGATAGGTCGATGTACCTGCATCTTAGGAATATCTAAATGACGAGATGTATAAAGCAAGAAATACGCATCCTGGATTCTGCTGCTAGCCACATTCCATCTCTTCTACACCATGAAAGTCATAGACAGTAACTTAAAGAGGTTTACATCAAAATAGGAATATCCATAAAAAGATACTTTTTATTGGACACTAGACAGTTAAACTATGAAAACAAACTGATATGCTTATGATGCAAATCACACCCTTAAACGACATGATTCTATGATACACATATATATATATAATGAGTCTCAAATAGAACGAAGCGCGCGTAAAACTGAATTCCACCTCTAACCACTATCCATCTTTGCATAAAAAAGCTTATGACTTAAGGCTATACCAAGGTAGTCCACACAGGATTCACATATGCCAACAAGAGATTACTGGTCGATTGCAGTTCTAAATAACAATAGGAAAATACAAATAAACAACATCAAATGAATTCAAAACTTCACCCTATTGCAAAAACCAAATGGCTATCAGGACTCAGTAACTAAGTGAATAACGCAATGATGTTTTAAGCAAACGGTAGTCAGTTCGAATCCCAGAATGAGCATCAACTTTAAGATCCAGGTACATTTAGCTGACGAGTCCCAAAATAGAACAAAAACACGTATCAAACTAAATTCTACTTCAATCTGCTATCCATCTTTGTTTCAAAAACCTTGTGACTTAAGGTTATATCGGAGGCAATCTACACAGGATTCATTTTCAAAGTTGAATTCGCCAAAAACGGAACTCTTCACTGAACTAATCTTTCTTATTAAATATCTTCATGGGTGTATTCCATTTACTAAAGAACAAACAAACAAAAATTATTTATTACCCAACATGAACCACATGAAGATTGATCACGTATTGTACGAATACTTGGACAATTTTTCCATTGTTTACGTGAATCAAAGAATTTTGGTAATTTCATATTAATATTATTATGATTAATTGTTGGACGTAATTTTATTCTTTGATGATTATCTTCTAATATAACACCCATCATTATTTGAGCATCATGAATTGTATGAAATCGTTTAGTTCTTTGAGCTTTCCAACCAGCATTTGGCTAAACAAATACAATTCAAGGTATTAGTTATTCATTAAGATTATCTGTTTGAGTTCAATTTACTATACTACTTAAATATTTATGTAAATTGAATAAGAACTTAATAAGGGTTATGTATATGCTTATAAGTTATTGAATTAAATATAGATAGATAGATGTGTGGATAGATAGATAGATGTGTGGATAGATAGATAGATAGATGTGTGGATAGATAGATAGATGTGTGGATAGATAGATAGATAGATGTGTGGATAGATAGATAGATAGATGTGTGGATAGATAGATAGATGTGTGGATAGATAGATAGATAGATGTGTGGATAGATAGATAGATAGATGTGTGGATAGATAGATAGATAGATGTGTGGATAGATAGATAGATAGATGTGTGGATAGATAGATAGATAGATGTGTGGATAGATAGATAGATAGATGTGTGGATAGATAGATAGATAGATGTGTGGATAGATAGATAGATAGATGTGTGGATAGATAGATAGATAGATGTGTGGATAGATAGATAGATGTGTGGATAGATAGATAGATAGATGTGTGGATAGATAGATAGATGTGTGGATAGATAGATAGATAGATAGATGTGTGGATAGATAGATAGATAGATGTGTGGATAGATAGATAGATGTGTGGATAGATAGATAGATAGATGTGTGGATAGATAGATAGATAGATGTGTGGATAGATAGATAGATAGATGTGTGGATAGATAGATAGATAGATGTGTGGATAGATAGATAGATAAACAAATAATATATTTGTAATATCCCAATGAGTAGAAAATTAGATTTTCTGACGTTTCGTGGCTTAGTGTAAGTCACTTCTTCAGAGAATAAATAAATCAAACCTTGGTAATGATACCTACAAACTCATTAAGATAGATAGATAGATAGATGTGTGGATAGATAGATAGATAGATAGAAGACATCCCATGTCAACATTGTCTTTCTTATATCCTGATGACAATAATCAATGGTAGCTGTTAGGATCCATTTATGAACAAATCCTATACATATATTTCTTATTGTGTAATTGTTATGAAGCAAAACTGTTCACATTTGTGTTCCTCTTATTATAAGCTTTATTTTGACCCATAGACTATTATGATACGATTAACCATTCTTGAGTTATGCCCTATCTATCAATGACTGTCTCCACTATTCACAGCCACTTTTGTTCAAATCTCGTACATATGTTGTTTCCTATTTTATGGTACGGTGTGTTTTAGATGGTGGTTGAAGTTAGTCGACAGGAACCCCTGTACCCAGGTTTCGTGCTACAGGAGGTCGGTCGCGACCCGGATAGCTCAGTGGTAACATTTCTGACTGTGAAGCTGGGTGACACGGGATCGAATCCGCCAGGAAGCACCAGTTCCCTCAAAGATTACAGGTACACCTTGCTGAAGAGTGTCAAGTAGCACGAAACCTGAGTCCAGGGTTTCCTATCGACTACCTCCAATCACCATCTAATCTCACAATAGTGCCGGCAGTGTCGAGTCACCTAGACTGGTGGCCACATTGCAACATGGTCGATAGCATTCAATGTGCACTAATAATGAGGACTAGACAAGCATGACATTGGTCACCACCAAGTAATCAATCAATTGTGATTATGGTGTGATTTGTTTGGCTGGTGTATATAAACCAAGTATGCTTAAAATAAATGATTTATATTTCAGAAACTGAGATTGGTGTTCTGGACTCTAACAGGCAGAGCTAGGCAGAAATCAGGATCGGTGATGACTGCTCGTATGGATTTCATGAGTCAGTGGTTCGATCGATCATTCACTGTTCTCTAATTGACGGTATCATTACGTTATATATTGATATGACTCGAAATACGAGTTACAACAATTGGTGCGAAGGGTGAAAAACAAAAAACCAAGGGCACTTGACCACAATTTATAACAATTTTGAACGAATAATCACTTTAGGTAAGCGCTTAAACATATGATTATGTGATAACTGTTGTTTGTGGTAGTTTAATCTAAATTAAGTAGTTTCCATTAAACATATGAATAAATTACAATCCTATCTATTCCTACTGAAAACTATTGTTTCATACGGTTGATTTAAAGCTACCTTTCAGAGAATCTTTTAATACTAGTAACCGATATCTTTTAAGCTTTTACTTGATATTTTGAATAGATTAGGTAGATAGAGAAGTGAATTGATAAGTAATAACTGGTAATGTGGATAACATCACATAGATCTATGGTAGTTTTCTGAGCTATTCAATACGATATATCCATAGATATATTTGAAAATTTAATCGTTGAATTCATGAATCAATAAAAACTAGATCACCTGGAAGCATTAGATGACAGTTTCGTCCTAGCATTGGACTCCTCAGTAGTGTACATTCAATGGTCTAGAGGTTAATTGTTCGCTCATTAAACCGATAGGTCCATAGGTTCGAACCCCAAGAGCGAGAACGTGAATATGCACTGGTAAAGAGTCCCATACTAGGATGAAACAATCATCCAATGTTTCCAAGTTTTCCATGGTGATCTAGTTTAACTTACTTATATCTCAAAAAAAAAACTCCCTTTTGATAATATTTAAAGTATATCATTCAACTTACATGTGTATTGATAAATGTGATTAGTTCATCAGAAAGTGGATGAAAATACGTTTTATTTTGTTGAATTGCATGACAGTTTTCAATTTCCATACAGTAGATTATAATAAATGGAAGAAATAAAATCATTCTGCCTATTTCATAGTAACTGATCTATTCATATTGTATTTATATACAAGTAAATCAATCATAAGAATGAACTTTAAACATTCAATAAGATGTAATACATCTAACTAACAAGTAACAAGTTAATACACATATGGTTTGTTTACAAATGATCAATCTCATTAATAAGGAATTTGTACCATAATATATGTGGTGGTGATGATGATGGTATATGTTATGCTGCTAGAAAGGATGTTGAATTTAGATATCTCAACAGGTTGACATTGCTACGAAGGTCAAAGCGCTGATGTACTCGACATTTTGACAGGCGGAGAGCGTGGTAGATAACTGTGACGATGAAGAAAATGACAGCGAGTAGAACAACTACAAGAGCGACTGTTTAAAGGGGGGACGCGTGTGGTATGTTCTACTTATGTCTCTCAACATAAGTAGTATATAACACCCATCAGAAGTGGAAGGCCTGGTAACAGAAGGTTGAAAAGGTTCAATTGAAGAGAATAAGAATATAAACAGAAAGTAATTGTAACGAAAATAGGAATGAAGGAATGACAAAGTTTGTCAGAAGAAATTGATGTTACATGTGTCTATGCAGGATAATCAATGTCCGTTAACCGGAGACTATCAGTAAAAAACTAAAGGAGAGAACTAGCTTCTATCTCACAATAAAATTAGGAAAAAACGTTAGAGGTGGATTGAATATACATTACGGAAATCGTCAAACTGTAGCACGAGGCAAGAGCTGACTTGGAATCATGAAGCGGAAAGGAAAAGAGGAAGAACCAAGAACACGCCGCGTCGAGAATTGGATGAAGATATCAAAAGAATGGATAGCAACCGGAAATAACTGGGAAGGATTGCTCAGGACAAGTGAAGAATGTTTGTTGGAGACATATGCTCCTCCACCTGCTTCGGTTTTATTGTCCGGGCAGTATTCCAGTGCTCACACAAATCGGATGATTTATGTTGAGCATATCTATTTGGTGCCTACTTGTACCATTGTTCATATGTTTAAATAATAATAATGATAATAATTTCGCAGTTAATGAACAGGATAATTTGTACTCCCTAAAATGGATATCACTTATAGATTAGATGATTGCTTTCAACCTTGTCACACTCCGATAGTTGAATAGTTTAAATGAGACGTTATCACCGTTATTCTGAAAAAAATCACTATCATCTACTTTTAATAACGTTCTAATCAGTAGTTTTATGATGGATTTTCCTCAGAAACTGGATTGTCCTTAATGAATTGAAATAGCAGGATGTCACTGTTCTAAATCAAAGAAGTTCTAAAAATGACATATAATTCTCAATAAACTGAATGGCTGCGCAACCATTCATCCATTGTCTGAGGTAGATGCCTATCTCTACCCAACACAGATTGAACTCCACAAATCATGGCTTCACACTAGAATTCCAAGAAATCATCTTGGAGCCAGTTACCGGTGAGCACATATTGATTATTATTATCAGTATGGACTCGTGGAGATTGTTAGGCTTTTGATTGAGATTATGGATCTATGAAAGTTAGACATTAACACCGTTATATGTAAGCTCGCTGGTCTACATGTTAAGCATTTGAACGTGAGACCGAAAGTCCCGGATTTGAGTCACGCATGAGGGATCGTGACTGAGCACTGCTAAAGAGTCTCATACTAGATAGAAACTGCTCTCCGGTGCTTCCAGGTTTTTACAGGATGGCATGCTATTGAATTATCTAAACAACTTTAATCTTAATGGAGTAAAGTTTAAGGAATATCTTCATTCAAACAAGTAGATACTCATTTTTCTATCCTTTTTAATGAACACATTTTAGCATCTACATACAAATTGACGTGTCTAGTTGTAGTTATACACAATGGTATCAACTTCACAGCTAAAAGGTACAGTTTGATACTGCTCTAAGTATGTTTGATGAATTTTATTTCTTATTTGATAGATTTCTGAAGAACAATTGAATAAAAGTACTCTTCTCTTAAAATTATTATTTTTCCATTTTTAATGGCCCATGATTTGAATGTAACTCCGTCTAGAGTCTTTTTTCGGGAGGCTACTGCCGGTCTCAAGCCCGGAAAAAGGAGGAGGATTGAGTAGGAACGATGCAACCAAACTTAATAGTGAGGAACAGAATGTCTGGCAGCAGAGAGACAAGAGTTTCGAACAGTGAGGAGTGGAATCAGAATGCAATTTGTATGCAAATACAAGAACAATGAAGTGAGAGCCATTTTCAGTCAATTGATGGTCATTTTGCAAATTGATCATTCACTATATGGTTGTTGCATTTTATTAACAAGTTCTGTACTCTGTTGTTGTGAAATACATTAGATTGTTCTCCACTGGTGTTCTTGTTCACTACAATTTGACTACTGGTGTTGCAGTCCAGTGAGTTAGGTTTGATGACAAAATGAGTAGTATATGATGTGTGTGATGTGTATCTGGTGAGATGAGGATAGATGAGTATGGTTGTGAGAGGATTTAGTGCGATGAATGAAATGATCACAATTAAGCATTGGTTCACGCATTTCTTGGTCGATCAATCAACGTTCAGTGTACCACGAATTGCATCCATCACATGAAACAGAGGAGACTGCAGTCAACTGACAGTGATGAATGAGCTGTGTGCATTCTAGTGAGTGAAACATGACTGCAGTTGGATGGATGTAAGTGATTTTGTGCTGTGAGCTACTTATATTGACATAAGTACTATATGCCGTTAGTCAGTGTTAATTCTATCGAAGCGTCTAGTTCACCTGATTGAGATATGCGCAAAAACCGCAGTTCCAAAACAACGATTTGTTTACAATAGCGGTTCTTTATTGAAAAAAAAATACACAAAATTTAGTTACATATCTCAATTTGTCAGATGTTTTTGGCGTTTAAACGCGTCTTTGAATCATAAAGATAAAAACGCTTCGATAGTACAAAGGACAGCTAATAGCTGTGTCTAGATTTGATAACAGTTAATGAACAACTGAAACTTGAACCAACAGCAAAACAATATGGAAACTGTTGCGCTTGAACAAATGCACGAAACTGTAAATAACCGCTACAGTGATTAAGGTACAGTAATTATATTGATAAATATAATGATAAGTACATTAAACGTCATAAATATATGTGAATAATTCACAATAATACACTACAACTTGCGATACAACATAAGCGAAAAATTGTTGGGAATACAACTGCTTACTGAATATAAATAAATAGTATAAAACAATATACAAAAGAGTGGAATGGAAACGAGTTGGGAACAATGTAAGCAAACTTAACAGAAGTGTACATACATATGCATCCATACAAAAACAGTCCAAGTTATTAAGTCAATAAGTAACAACGTTCAAATGTGATTCCTAAAACGATGCATGAATTGATCTGTTCATAAGTTAAATTAAATTATATGGGCTTAACATAGTAACAATTTCATTTCCATTTCTACATGATTTATCCTGATATATATTCACTGACAGCAGTATAAAAAGTCAGTTAAATAGAATTGATGTCGTCTTTCTTCAGAAATTAAAATTTTTTATCAAAACTTAAATGAAACAGTTAGACCTAATTATTTATTCTACATGAAATTCCCAGGTCCATTCAAAGCACTTGAACTAATCAAATTACGAACATAAACATTTTATAGCCAATTAAAAAATGTGTATCAGAAAGGTTTCAATAGTTAAGATCATGAATTAATTGAAGCTAGACCACCACCATTTCGTAGTCAGTTGTAATTGCCTGTGTTATCATGATTCACAAATCTTTGTACTATTGTTATTAATATTCGTAAGACATTAACACTGTTGGATGCCGGCTTAGTGGTCTAAGGGTTAAGCGATCGCGCTCCTGGGTTCGAATCTTACGGGGAGGAGCGGGATCGTGGATGTGCACTGCCACTGAGAAGTCCCAAACTAGGACAAAACTGAAGGTAATCAGTAAAGAAAACAATGAAGCTTTTGAGAGACAATTCAAAAAAGATGTTTAAATGAAGTATTTAATGTATCACTTTTTATATTTTATGAAAGAACTCTGTAAATTAGTTTACCCCACCAAGTCTTCATTCATAACACTTGCATTAAATCAACTTGAACTATGCTGAGAATAACATGTAGCCTTCGATCACTCTATCATACGTTAAAGGCATAGTAGAAACGACAGCAAGACTGTTGAAAACCTTTGGAATAAGTGTTGCATAAAAACCAACAAAATGCCTATAATTAATGATTTCGCCTCAACTTACCAACCGGTTTTTTTCAGTTTTTCACATAAAGGCTAGTTTTAGTTTATCTTAGTCCGTTTTTGGTGTGTTTTTTAGTGTATTTTTAACGGTCTTAGGCTTTCGCTAGCATCTATATATGATAATTAGAAGTATTTGAATTATAGTATGAACTAATAATCCCAGGGATAACGTAATTGAATCAAGAAGTACTAAACAAGCACTAACGAATGTACTATATTTAGAATTCGAAATCAAACATTCAACAAGTACAAAGGAGTTATTAGTTCATTCAAACACCACACTATAATACAGCTTACGTCTCAAATATTGTATGGAAATCAACTGGGGAATTGATCTCACAGTCTACCTCAAAGAATGTTCGTCCGGTCATCAAAGAGCCTAGGATTCGAAAATGTACTGCCCGACATACTGTATTCTGAGCGCAACCACATCCGGAACATCCGTAAAGAATCTTGCGAAAAGTTTTTAAGCGAAGAAATGTCATTGTTTAAGGTATACCGGAAAACACGGGCCCTAGTCAAGCAAACTCTGATATTAGGGAGTGGAAATTCATCAAGCAATCCTTGAGGCTCAAAAACATACTGACTCAGCATGTGACGAGACTAGCCAAGAAGGACGATAATTCTAGACCCCGGCTAATGAGGATAACTTTCCCATCCTTCCATATGGCGGCTGCAACTGCATTTCGTGCAAACAGATGTTGGTCGCGAACTGGAATCCACATGCACCCGAACAAGCCATATGACGCCAGAATCAAGCACAAAGGCAA